TACTGTTATAATTTTAGAAAAATAAGGTTTTTCATTACAAGATTCGTCTTCTCAGATGCTATAATAATTGTTAGGGGATATTTTGTGGAAAAGCCATCTTATGCAGGTGCCACAAAAGCTGTAGAAAGCTGTTTCATTTTTAGTGCAGAGTGCACTATTGGGATGGTTTAGGGGGCTGCTGTTCGCTAAGACACTAATGCCATAAGGTGTACTAACTTTAATGTTTGTTTAATTAATTGATTTCAATTAATCAATTAGCTATGCCGGAAGGGGGGCTTGGGTGGGGTAGGTATCCAAGTGCATTACGCAAAACATGTCCTTCTTACATTGCTTTCCTTGATAACATGACAAAAATATATATGTGGTTTTGCAAATCTCATGTTATCCTTGTGGTGTCATTCTCTTAAGAACAAAAGCAATTTGCTCCAAACGCATGTGCAGATTAGTTAGCGTCAAAGTCGACTATATGTTAGGTGAAAGATACACTTTATACTGGACTACCCACAAACGTTGAGTGCTTTCCCTTGTGGTAGAGCATAACATGTAAGACGCATGCGTTCCAGCATTGCTAGTGTGATAAACTCCGTTCTTGAGTTCAGAAGCATGCTTTTTTTTTTTATTTTTTGTAATGAGTGATATCACACTCTCATTTTGGCTGCGGATAGCAGTTATATTTCAGGTAGCGTCAGTTCTCTTTCTTTAGTGCAAAGAACGCTACTGTGACTGCGCATCTTCTGGAATCTTCCCTAACTTGATTCAAGAAATGTCGCCTGCTGTTTTATAACTATTGTGTGTTTGCCAGGGTTGAAATAGAGAATGGGAACACATTGCTTCTCCTTAGCAGCTTGTTTGTTTCCTCTTCTATGAAAGAGAGCCCAAAGTTCATATTCAGCAAAAACTTTCCCACATTAGTTACATGCAAAACTAGTAAATTTCTGACAAAAGAAACCTTGTTATTATTGCCCGTAGACTCCATGGCACTTACTTAAACCTCCAATTAATTTCATCAGTCGATGAGGTGACTCGCNTTTAAACTCAAAATTTCTGATAGAAAGAAATCTTTTCCCTGCTTTTTTGACAACCCAAACTGATCAGTCAGGCCCAGATGACTTCGTCCTCCACAGACCATGGAAAGCACCGAAAAAGGGTTTAAAACTTCCTTAATTTTAATCTCAAGTGTAACCAGAGTCAGCGTAAAATTTTTGCCGTGGAAGAAAAAAAATAAAGCCTCATATGACGACCAACTTCTGATCCTTTTTTTCCTTAAAAATTTCCATGTGTATGCTGAATGAAAAGATATGCGTGTTATTGATATCTCAGCCAGTGAAAGGCAAAACTGTTTATTACATTTGTTACTGCTAGAGTTCCGAGTTCTCTAGTTCCCACATAGAGCTGCCACAGATCAGGAACCGTGGTTTATCGGTACAATAGAACATAGGTTTAGCAACTCTATTGACCAATCAGAGCGTGTGTAGTATCTCAGTTATTTTATAATTACCAGTATCCTGTAAGAGTTAACATTGTGACCAAAAAGCCCTGTTGAAGGGCGTCTCAATAAAGTATGTGTGTATGTATGCATGTATGTTGGTATGTATTAAACAACTTTCTTTCTTTAATTTTCTCCATGGCACTGTTTACTATCTTGGCTAGAGCACTTAATGTGAATGTGGCCATCTCTCTCATTTTCAGCACATTTTGTGGCCCTGTGCCTGTCATATCCAACTTTAGTCTTATAATTTTTTTTTCCACAGTCACAAACAACTTCCAAAGGTTGGGCCTATTGACAACAAGAGTATAAAACATTATCATTCGATAAAATGAAAGTTAGTTGTTAATAACTACTTATTAACCAGAAGTGAAATCTTTAAAGTAAAATCTCAAACTGAGACCTCGGCATATTGACCAAGCAATAGCAAGGTCAATAGGGCAAGATCAAAGTTTGAGATTTTCCCATTAAGACCAAACATTTGAGGATGATAAGTTGTTTATTATATGGCTATTTGCTTTGGTTTTGCAGGCCTGTAATTGGCCCGTGGGCATTAGAGGAGAATAATGCCATACAATTGGCCAATTAGAGCGCACATTATATCAGCTACAAACCCAAGTCATACAATAAAGCAAGATAATCGATTAGCTCAACAGTATCTATGAGTTGAAGTATTGCTGGGTGCTTAAGAAAGTTAAAGTTTATCAAAGCCATGAGCTAACTGTATCGAGGGCTTTATGGCCAAAGACAAGCTCAGAGAACCACAAGAAGAATGAGGTTTAGCCATCAATTAATGTCCAATTCCTGTCTATTTATTTGTAACGCAGTTGACAATCTATTAATTTATATAATAATTAAATGAATGCACGCGCTCTGATTGGTCAATCAGCTATGGTCTATTGTGCCAGTAGACTCATGGAAATTTCACATGTCTTCTGAATTACTATATAAAAGCAATAGACCACAAGTTTTGATGGTTTAGAGGCATGATAAACCACTTGGGATGCTGGAAGAACACGAGAGGAATTTGTTACGAATTCTTCTCATGTTCTTCCAACATCCCGCGTGGTTTATCAGCTTATAAACCATAAAAACTGGTGGTCTAGTGCTTAAACAAACTACTTTCTTGCAAACTACATATTGTTTGCTGTTTTCACAGACTTAATACTCACATACCACGCACAATATTTCACACACAGCATGTGAAGAGTTGGTTTTAGCTTACATCGAGATCATACACACGTTTCTAAGCTTGTGCAATAGCGAATTCGGGTAACAAATCTGATTTTCTGCATTTACATTACTCACTGCCACTGAAAATCCCCCTTGTAGCAATTCTTCCTCTCCTAAGACATCCAAAATCGCATCTAAATTGACTCATAAGTCCACCTATTTCATGTGACGTGCAGACTCAACTTCAGACAAAGGTCTATTGTTTCGCCCTTTGAAGTTTGCCGGCTTTCATAACCAGTCTCCTCTATCAACTATGCCCTACGGCCTCATGCAGTATTGTTTGCCTCTGAAAAGGTTACTTAGGCTTATTTATTCCAAATTGCACTCAAAATCAATAGATCACCTATACAAATAACTCCCTTGTACCCATTTATATACAACTGAAGAGAGGCACTGTGAAAGTGCATGTGCTCTGTCCAAGCATTCAGTTAGTCAGAGTTCCCATTAACACACAGGCATATGTCATATATGCACAAAAAATGAAAAGGATGCACAGTTTTTTGGCAAAGTGCGTCCATGGGACACAGGAAAAAAGTTCCAAAAATTTTAGTAAATAGGCAAAGGACCCCTGAAAAGCAAAAAGAATCCCCAGCTCTTTGGAACTGGGGGTCCCTGGGACCCTTAACTATCAAAACTAGTAGGAACTCTGGACTTGATCCAATGTTCCACAAGATAAAAATGCACTCTCACAGAAATTACTCATAAATATATTAAATTATATGACTTTTTCCTGAGTTGTCTGTTAACTTACCAGGGTAGTGTAAAAGAGGTCTTTCAGCAGAGTCTCGTCATACAGAGGATCCCCAGACTCACTAGCTATACTACTCCCAAGGGAGGAGTGAGGAGATTCTTCCAGATAATGCATTTCCTCTTCACCTAAGACTAAGTCTACTGCTTTGATGTTATGTGAAAATACTGACTCAGTCACCACACTCTCATCTATGCCATGCTCATCAGACGTAAGAATTGCCTTGAGCAGTTTACCAGGAGGTGAATTCCTACCAAGAACAAACAAACTCAATTACCACAGTGGCTGACTTAAAAACATCAACAAATTAAGAGATTCTAGAGGTGATGGAAAGAAGTGAACAGTGTTCATTGCAACCAAGTCATTGGGGAAACAGTAATCGCAAGATTATGAAATTTAGTATGGGTATCTAATGTTCACGTATCATAATTATGGTGTGGCCAAAAAGTTCTTCAAGAAAACAGATTCTGCTATTAATTACAACATCATGTCACGAGGTTTCACTTCAGAATGTTTTAGCTCTCAGTTTTCGCTCTGAAAAGCATACTGAAAGTATTGAAAAGGAGAAAAATATTGGCTGTTGTAACATCTCATGTCAAATTGAGCTGGGCTACCTCAAATATCAAAACAGTTTAACCCTGAATGAAGCACTCTACAATCTTTTCAATACAGGGAGCAACCACAATGATCACTGCAAGGACAACATCACTTGAAAAATGTTATATTTGACCTGCGAATCTCGCAATACTCGAGTCATTCAGTTTGTCTATCACAATTAGAGCTTTCTCAAAACTGAATGTATAAGGCAGGGTTAAATTGGAAAAATAAATTTAAGAAGTTGGACTTTGCAGCCAATAAAATTATCTGTCTTGAGCTCATAAAATAATTATTGTTAACATTTATGGAAGACCTTTAGTAAGAATTGATATCATAAGTCAAATCATCCTCGCATTTTGATCAATTATTTCTTACTTATGACCTATTGGAGGACAGACACATAGATTATAAGCATCATGAACATTTTTTCTTTGTTTCTTTAATATATAAAACAAGTAGATTCCATGTTGCCGTGCATCTGTCCAGTAACAGATCACATAGGATGTCAAAATGGCACACTCAGCTGTCGCCTCATGTGCCACTCTTTTGTTCTTACCACATTTTGACGTCATTTATGATTTATTACTAAACAATTGCGTGTCAACATAGAACCTATTTCTTAAGTATATACAGTTGTAGACATTTAATATCTCTACAAAAACAAAAAACTTGATTCTGAGAGCTTTTTAAATGAAATAAGTGAATCCTAGCACATGCAACAAAATAAAGCTCCCAAAAGATATAAAACACTAAAGGTAATCACAAATCTAAACAAATGAGACAAAAATTACTGAAACGAGGTGAAGTCAATTCCTTAATCAGTTGCAATAATTGCATATTTGGAATACAAATACTGGTAGCAACATATAACTCACAATACAGCACAAATGTATGAACTCAGATTACTATTGAATTTTTAGATGTTTAGAAAAAGGGGAAATACAATGTGGTTCAAAGTCAAGGTTTACATTTTTAAATATCCTATTCAAATGTACAAAGGGAGTTGTCTACACTGGTACTGACTATTATATATTTGATTTCAAAATTTCTCTTATTCCTACCACTAAAAATACACTTCATGTTACGACTCGAAAGAAGACACACTGCTAATGGCTGTAATTCTCAGCTCATTGTGCGACGGTGGCAAGCTCAGTTTGATGAATGGAGACAACAACCCCAGTGGGATTAATTTGTCATGATTGTGGCTTTTATTCTTACCTAACGTAAACACTTATCGTGTCATGTTATGAAGTCATGACAACAATAACCACCATTCATCAAAGGTGGGGACAACTACAACGCTAATGACATAAGTGCGAACTAGATGTAAGACACAAATCAGAAATTAAGAGTAGGGCCAAGGTTAAGGAGGTGCACAAGAAGGGGCAGAGAAGGAAAACTTTTGACAGCTACGAGCAGCGATGTTTACACTCAGGTAGCTAGGAGCAAAGAGAGGACTCTCTTTGGCAACACACCTTTATGTAGAAATCTGATATGACCCATGAAGCCGATTGTTCTCCGCCAACCAAATATCCTTAACAATGACACTTTCTCGTCTAATATAAACCTAAAAATGCATGCTGCATAATTGGCATAATACATACGATATGAGACAAAACCTTCTAAACAGTCTCCTCTGAAGCCATTCTTGGGGTTGCCAAGCAATCCTACTTCCATATTATATAAGCATTGCAAAGGAACCTGATGAACAGCCGAGGAGTCTGGACTTAAGTAGCCAGCAATGTATAATCTGTACAATAAATGGCACAACACTAAGAAAAATGTAAACTGATTGCCATATTATTGACTGACCCTTTCATTAAGGTATGCATCCCTTCAGGTTGTTCCATATTGTTATCTTCATCTATTGACGTCACCATAGCCTCCCTTAGCTTCTCTCCACGATGAAGCAATGCACCAATCAGATCAGATGATATATTAACAGCTCTATATTCATGGTGAGGACTGCTCACTGATGTCAGCTCAGATCTTGCTATACCTTCATCCTCACCTAAACAATGCATTAATGTTAATATAACATTATAACTGACACCATCAAATGAACTGCACATCAAATATTACTAACCCCAGAAATTTATGCTGCCTAGTTTACTGCCATTCTGAAGCATGATTTCATCTGATTAGGTACACTGCAGGACCCCCACCCCCTCCCCTCTTTATGTCATACAAGGCCATTAATATGTACACCACAAATAATTCCAATTGTATTTGACATATTCCACCCCTAATTTTGTGATACCAATTTATAGACCTGAGTGAGGAAACATATGACAGAGTCTGTTAACAGATCCTTTGGACAAACAATTAAGAATAACTAGTGAGACAATTCAGATAGTGCAGAGTGTAATTTACGGCTTTGATACAGTAGTCACATAGGTCCTCACCCCTGCCGTTCTCTTCCTTGGCAGTCAACTAGGCCTTTTCCCCTTGAGGGTTAGAAAGAGCAGACAAAAACTTGATGAGACATAATCTTAGCATTGTGTAAGTTTCGTGATTGTATTTTCTTTCAAGGCCCAAAAATAACTCACAATTACCGTTTGTCAAGACGGCTTTGAATTTTGTGATGTTTGACGCTGAGTTTCAGTCATTTTAAATTCAATAATACGCAGAAGTGGCAAATATGACAATTTTATTTCTCACTCCAACATATGTAGCTTGATACTTTTGTTTTCCTCCCTGAGCTATGCAACATGATACCCTTGTTTCCTCAAAAATATAAGAAAGATGTGTATTTTTTTATTTACTGCTGGAGGTAAATGGAATAAAGCTAAATATCTCATGAAAAATTGAAATGGAACGATTTTGTTTTACTCCAAACGCAAATTTTCGGTTCACAGAAAAACAAGAACTAATCTAATTATCAAATAGTCATGTCCAGTCACGGAATAGTTCGTTCTTACTCACATCAAACTAAAATACAATGCTATCGATTAATTCAACTGAGGAGCATTTCGACAAGAAGTTCTGAAGGAAGAGATCACTACATGGTCGAAATTATATCCTACATCGGTGAGAGAGTCACCTCAAAGACTGATGAAATTAATTGGCGGTTTCATTAAGTGCCACAGAGTCTGCGGCAATATTTGCGAAGTTTCTCGTGTCACAAATTTATTAGTTTTATATGTAACCAACGTGGGAAAGTTTGGGCTGAATATGAACTTTTTGCTGCCTTCATGGAAGAGGCAATAGACAAGCCACTAAGGAAAAGCATTCTTTATTTGAGCCCTAGCAAACACGCAACAGTTGTAAAACAGCAGACGAAATTTCTTCAACTGAGCTAGGGGTGATTCCAGATGATACGCAGTTACAGTAGCGTTATTTGCACTAAAAAAGGGAGAACTGACGTTACCTAAAATACAGCTGCTATCCCCAGTCAAAATAGTCCAGTTCTAGCCCTCCATATGCTTCCCGTTTTAGGAACCTTTCGTGTACTTTTTTCTCTTAGTCATTGGTACTAAAGTACTAACCTGTATGCCCAGTAAACTACCCTTACCAATAGCGTGTATTACTCGTATAGACTCCTAGCGTACCAGGCGACCCAAAACCTCAAAGATAAGCGCCTATTAATCGCCAAAATCAATCACCAATAATCGCTTCAATAGCATGGATACTGTTAGTACTAGCGTACTACTAAATCCATAGGCGAAGATTGTGCACGTACAAACGTGATTATGTACTAAGNATCCTGTTATATTTTAGTTTTCACATTTAGCGCATACTTTTATGGTATGAGGTCTCACACCGTTCGCAAGATTATGGCCAATAACTAGACCTGACAAAAGTCATGTCCGAATTTCATGTACTTGTAAAATGAATTTAGCCAGAATTACAACGATAACGCACCCTGAAAAATGTCACGGTAGTGCGCCATAAGCGAATAAATTCGGTTTGTACTCCATCGCGCTAGTTCACGCCATATAATCAGCGATAAACACGCCAGACAAATGTCCAGTAGTACTACAGAGACAAAATCCTCTTGTCTCGAGCGCGGATATGAGCACCTACGGCTTGTTAGCATTTCATTCCAGTTCGATAAAACAGCATTAACAATTCACACCTTCTAAATTTGTTGCTGTAAATACTACAAAATCCCTAGCAAACTTGAGTAAAACACACATTTAAACAGTGCACATGTAAACAATCACGACCGTCAAGCTATTATGCAAATTTTGGCTTGTCGGTTGTTTTTGTCCGCCGCGCAATGTTTGGATCGAAATTTCGACAAATGCTCAAATAATATTTAAGATGTAAAATTTAAAATTCATCTTTTACCTTTCTCTTTGTGTCTGCAATAAAACTACAGTGAACATTTGCTTGTATGACCGACAAGAGGTTTTCATTCACGTCAAATCAACTGATAAATCGTAAACAAAGGCAACCAAAACACAGACTGACATCACATGCTCATGCATTCTAAATACATTTCTGCACTTTCCTATCGTTCTGACTAACTATATATAAATCTTTTTATCTTGCTACTCGTGTTAAAAGAACAGTTAATTGCTGACCGTAAGATATTAAAAACTAATCATTGCTAAGCGCGTTTTATTCCTTGCAGACTGGTTCCGCCAGCTCTCAAGAGAAGCGTTTGCAAAGTGTTTGCAAAGCATTTGCAAAGGGTTTGCGAAGCGTTTGCAAAGGGTTTGCGAAAAATTAGCAAAGGGTTTGTGAAGCATTTGAAAATGGTTTGAGAAGCATTTGCAAAGGGTTTGAGAAGCATTTGACATGCTTTGCAAACCGTTTGACAGGCGTTTGCAAAGGGTTTGAAAAGTGTTCGAAATGCTTTCCAAGCGTTTGTAAGGAGTTTGCAAAGGGTTTGCAAAGCGTTTGAAAAGAGTTTGCGAAGCGTTTGAAACGCTGTCAAACCCCGTTTGTGAGGCATTTCAAACGCCCCAAAAACGCTGTTTTCGATAAGACATGTTTTCCTATGGAAGGTCACAATTTATCCGATACTGTACAAACCAAAATCCACCCCTATATCTTCTTTTAAAAGCTACAATTAAAAGCACTCCGCTAAACCTACAAACAGCAAAGGAAAGCAGCAAAGGAACTCCTAGAGTGCATTTCGCTTCCACAGGGGGATAAATCATGCGCAACATAAGCGCACAGACATAAGCGCGACAAACTATGCGAAATTGCTATCCAAAGGAATGCATGCATGCCAGCATAAAGCAATGACGCCACACAATACGTCATCGCTTAAAAATCGGCCAAAAAAACCTATATACGCCCTTTTAGCACGAAAGCCTTCAATTATTATCGCTGATTTTTATTCTTAATAAGAGTCAGTTAATTATTAGCGGAATTGATAGACAGAAGACAAGGGCAGTGGTCTCACTGCTTGATCTTTTCTTTGAGACCTGAACTCAGTAACTGAACCATTAGGTCAAGACACTTTTATTAAAAATTAATCATTACACAAGACTACAAACCTATTTCCTTTTCTATGCCTTTTTTCAGCTCTTTCTTTTCTGTTGTTGGTGTTGATATCTGTGAATTCTCTGCTGTATACCCCAGTCTCTCTGGTGATGTGGGAGCAAATTTCACACCCTGAAAAATAACAGGTGTGTGTGATAAATGACTTAATGCAATATAACAGGTCTGTTGTGATTTTAGTATTTTATGTAAAGTGCCAATAACAAAATGAATGAATGAATGAATGAATGAAATAGTTATTGCTGGCCGCATAGGGCAGCTTCTATTTCTGTCCTCATAATTATGTCCTCGCCTTCAGGTTATGTTTGTTAGCAGTTCCCAGGCCCCACTGCGTAGAAAGTCTGCGATTGTTATGATAGACAGACTTGAATCTGTGACCTTGTGCTTTGAGCGTTTGTTGAGTACATTCGTTGATGCAAGGGAAGTATTTAAAGGGAGTATATTCATTGATGCGAAGGGAAGCGTTCAAAGGGTAAGTTACTCAGTAGCTTGTCATGTCAGGTATAAATTTAAGTATTGTGGGAAGTTTTCATCAGGGTAGCGAATGTTTAAATGATGAATCAAGGGGAAGACAATGTTCTTTCATGAGTCTTGCTGTGCTGTTGTTCCATGAGTACCAACCAGTTCAGCTGTGGAATACAAACACAGTCGATAGTTTTCCTATCAGCTGACCATTTACTTGCTCAGCAAGGCGAACAGACTGAATAATAATTTGACCAATGAGGCAAATAAACAAGTGAATTTCCCAGAGAGGTGAACAAACTGAATTCTAATTTGCCAAATGAAGCTGATAAAACAAGTGAATTGTCCTGGGGGGCAAACAAACTGAATTCTAATTTGCCCAAAGAGGCAAATGAAACAAGCAAATTACCTACCGAGGCAAAAAGAAAAACTGAATAATACTTAAATTTACACATGACATGACAAGCTACTAAGTAACTTACCATTTTTGTAAAAATAACACATCTATCACCTTTTGATAGCACTTTATCAAGAATAATAATTTATTATTATTGCATTAATTGCAAGAAGTAGAAATCTAGTGTTATTAATATTGCCAATATACACTTTGTATTCCGCACAAGTTCAAAGTACTCTTTATTGTTACTGTTCATGGTACATAATTGTTTCAACTAAAATATCTTTCACATTTTAATAGCAGTTTACCAGAAGAATAATTATCATTGACAATTATTTCATTTATTGCAAGTAGTACAAATCTACTGTGAGTCAAAAAATCCAAATGTACCAGTAAGAATAAATCGTTTGAGTTAATATTACTCTAGTCTGCTTGCGTCTGTTAGAAACTAATGCCTCCAAAAATAAGCAAGTGTAAAGTTGTAAAAACTCAGGTGTCAAGATAAAAAAACAAGGCTTACATAAAAGATACAATAGAATTCAACTTCAAACTTGGTTATTTCTATGAGATTAATTTATTATATTTTTCCAACGATCTCCAACACCATGTGATATCTTCATGTCTCACCCCCACCATCTTTCTACATGGGGCAGCCCTTCACTTCCAACATAGAACCCCTAGTTTTATACCGACAAGATCAATACATGTCATGCATAGAAGAGTCAGCTGTACTCTTGAACCAAAACCCTCCTTGTGTTTCATGATTGGTATTGCTCTTTATTATATCTTTCAGTTACCTACTGTAAGGGGTAAAGTCTGTATATGAGTTAAGTGGCCCATCAAGCCCAAGCTTATCCCGGTTTCCATAGACTAGGAGTATTTCTACTCCCCCCTGGATGGGATGCTAGTCCATTGCAGGGTAACCCCCAGCATTAAGTGTGGCGGTACCCATTTATACACCTGGGTGGACAGATGCGTTGTGCTCAAGAGTGAAGTGACTTGCCCAAGTACACAACACAATGTTCCCAGCCAGGCTCATTCCAGAGCCAGGCGCACTAACCATGAGGTGACCACGCCTCCCCGCATTCTACAGTACCACCCACCAAAATTCACATAAAGCCATTCCATTTGACATGAAATGGTTTTCCTGAACCTTCAGACCCACAGTAGAGATATTATTTAAGTATCTTACTAAGAATCTCTTCTCTGTCTATACCTAAGTCAAGGATCCTAGTTTTCTCCCTTCAATCTATGGCCCTATAAATAACTGTTATCGAAGGGAAAAAACTCAATCCACAACTTACCATATGGACCGCAAACTCAGTTAGTAACAGGTATGTAATATAGAGTAATACTGTGCAGATTTATTTTAAATGTGAAATAATATACAATCACGTACTGTAATGTACATATTGTATAAAACTGTAAAAGCCACCTCTCCACAACAGTCAGTTTCCTCTGTCCCCAAAGAGGCTGTTCTGGAGAGATTCAACTGTATGTAAATTATAATCAGCAATAAGTATTATGCTGGAGTTATGCTCTTTTTTATGCTCTTGCAAAGGTTGTAGTGTTTTAATTTTGAGGTCATTTTTAGACTGTCTAATAAGTGTAAGTGTAGTTTATAATAAACGCCAGTCACTAGGGGACTTAAGATTTGAGTATGAGTATGAGGTCGAGTACAATTTTCAATTCTAGTTTGCAGGCTTCAAGTTGTTACATCAGGTACCCATCTCATCCCATGAGCTACTCTCTCTTCCAAAAACTAACATGAAGAGCGAGGGCTCTGGAAACATCACTGGTTTGAAATTAGCAAATCGTACTTGTACTCAATCTCATACTGTGTAGTCCAATCTAAAGGTCTCTACTGGTACCAGTGTTATAAAAGGTCTGGCTGAAAGCTCTGTCCATAAAAAAAATTCTGTAAGTTATAGATTGAGAAGGTCTAGTACTGAAGATCAGTCCAAGTGTTCTCCTTGTCAAATTTTCAAAGCAATGAGATTAACACAGTCAATATTTTGAACCTTGAGTAGAGAAATTAATGTCAGACCAGTGTAGTCATCCAAGCAAGAGCAGTGTTGAGAAAGACTTTTGTCAGCTTCGTGAAAGTTTCTGCAAACTGGGCAGTAGTCAATTTCAAAGGGAAGAAGCATAACTACCACTAGGTCTGCAAAGATCTCAGTCAAACAATAAAATTACGTTACCTTCATCCCAAGTGACACAAAGGGGTCCACATCATGAGTTTTTTGTCTGGGATACATGACAGGTGCAGCTGGGTTCAAAGAAGGGGGTTCCCTTTCTGGATCTATTTCCATATCAATTGTAGGTATAGATGATGATAACTCACTGTATGCTGCTGAAAGGGTTGTGTATAGAAAACACACCATTGTTAATTACATGTAAGCTGGCTCAATCTGATTTTTGAGTGATTCCTTTCAACTTTGAGCAATTATAGTACCATCATTAACAATCCAAAGTGAAATCAGTCACCACAGTTGTATTAGAGAAAGACAAAAGTTTCAAATATCTTCAACCTGACATAGTACTGGGTGTTGTGACATAGGGATGGCAAATTTAAAAAAAACTTACATGACAGCATCAACAGTTCAAAGATCTGTGTTTCTGTAATAAACCTGTTATGAGCAAGTTTCTTTTGGATTGTTTATGGTAGTTCTCTAGTTGCTCAAATTTGATATGTAATATCAAAGCACAAAGATCAGACCAAGCCATCTTACTGATTATTTCTGTATTGTTGCTTTCATGCATCAGGACACTGGAGATGTCTAATCTTGACTATAACCTGCTTTGTTGTCTTGTTGATAACAAAACAAATTGCAGCAATGCAAACAACTTCAGGTGCATCTACCTGTAAATGGTTTAATAGACATTCTGCTGTATTGAATACAACATTATCATAGGTTCGTCCATGACAGGTACTAAGTTTATACGAATTTGCTCCCTAGGTCCATATTATCATGATGATCTTAACTAAGGGATTAAAGATGATTTCCAGTCCATACTGCACACTCTCGAGAGTTTGTTTACGTTTTTTTTTGTTTCATGCATGACGTCACAAAATGTGAACATTGAACTACTTACATGAGGTAAATTCAAAGTTTTATGTCAACTACCATTATGCACGCAAAGCGACGTGAAGCTTTAGGTTTTGTTCTTTCTCATATCACTTGATGAAATAACTTTGCAGCTGTAAAAATCAATGAAGCAGTTGGAAAAAGAATTTGAAAGGCCTCAAAGATAGGGTATATGGTTCGTATCGAATAACATCAATTCACATTCTACCAAGTGAGGTTTTTTTATGTTTATAAACATAAGGGTGCTGAGACTGTGCAGTACAGACTGGAGATCATCTTTAAGAATAATTGAAAACCACTTATATGCTATGTAATATCCTACCTGATAAAGACTCAAATTTCAAAGCAATATACAAAAGAGCCAACTTTTTCCCAGGTGAACTTGTGGACACAACATCAAAGAAGCTGTAAATTTAGAAAGGAACACTTTATATTCTCATATTAACATTTTGTCCAGAGAGTTCAAATGAGATGTACATGTAGATTCGTGTTGTTCAAGTTTACAGTTTTGTTTCTTTTGCGTAATTTCTGACAATGGAGTCCAGCATTGAAGCCTTAAAGAAAACACCAATGTAGAAGAGTAACATCATGACAGTTTACTAAGATTTACTTTCTTTAATTTATTCATTTATTTATCCAACCCTGGCAACCGCACAAGCAAGATACGCTCAGTGACTTCTGTGTGTTTGTTTCGTTTTTTTGTTGTTTTTGTTTTCATGAATTTGTTATTTCAGTCCAGAGAGGACTAATACACAGTGCTATCGATTAATATTACTGAGGAGCATTTCAATGAGAAGTACTGAAGGTAGAGATTGTTACTTGACCAAGTCACCTCAAAGACTGATGGAATTAATTGGAGGTTTCAGTAAGTGCCATGCAGTCTGCAGCAATAATTTCGAAATTTCTTCTGTCACAAATTTGCTAGTTTTACATGTAACTAACGCTGGAAAGTTTCAGCTGAATATAGTAGCACTGGGCGATTGCCCACGGGTACCCCCCTTAGTAACTTGTAAGTCATGTGGTGTATGCTGATATAACCATGTGCTCAGTTGAGTTGCTAAACTGTATATCTCTTAGATCTGTGATTAAAAGTTCTAATGCCGTGTTTTATTGCGGAATTGTGGCATTACATTGGTGGCAGCGGTGAACAAAACGAACTTTACATCTACCTGTGGTCAATGGAGATTTGGTCAATGGAGATGGTTTTTTTTCCATCAGAAAATTATTTTGGAAGTTTAAGTCACCAATCTCACTCTGCAAACCGGTTCACGCTAGAGAACGAATCAGATAATTATTCAGCAGATTTGCTAACACACCACTGGAAGTTTATGAAACCTGTTAAAAATCCTGTGGATTACGATGGTACTCAGTTGCTAAAAGATTATTTGAAACACTTTGAGTGTTGCTCTGTTTTAATGGTTGGAGCAAAGAAGCTACTGTATTCCTGGCCGCAAGTAATCTTGTTCCCAGATCTCTTGTGGACGAAGCCGAAGGCGAGATCTGGCCAAATC